TAATGTGCATGACGCATCCGACACAAGTTGAAGGAGTGAAAACATATATAAATTATACAAAAGTCAACTAATTGAATTCGATTATTCAGCAAGCCCTTGGGGTGGTTAAACCCGGGATTTGCATTAATTTTCCCACCCGTCGGATCAGTTTATGAAGATAAATATACAACGCAGCTGCGGTCAAAATCAAAGCAGCGTGGGACCTCACAAATTCCTCAAAAATGAAAAATATTTAATGTTTGCACAACTAATGAACCTTCAATTGGATTAATTATGATCACACATTTGGTTAATGTTTGAAGATAATTATTTGACAAATTTGGGCTGCCGTATCGCAATTAATGGGACAGCTGATCTAATAAATTACCTGACCCCTGCTTTCCACGCGAAACAATTGTGGGCTTGTGCAAATAAATAACTGATTGTTTTCGCTTATCAATGGTATTGTGAAGTTTCTTCGTATTTCGCAAGCTACTATTGCAATGACTAAGAGCATTCTATTTCACATCAATAAATCTATTAATGAATTAAATGCTTCGCTGCCCACGTAGCTGAAACAAAGCGCAAATATTTGCATATTTCAAAATTATATTTACGAGCTCGACTCCAATCAATTAACGCATTAACATGGTTTTATTATGTATCACATTCAAATTGGGCAAATCGGCGGTAGCCAGTGCGAAACTCGTTCTCGGCGCCATTACCAAAAAAAGCGAAAAACACAAAAGTTTTCTACGTGGGCGATCCCAAAGTGAGTGAGCACCGAGATTTGCGGCTCGTTAAGTATTATAACTTAATTAGCTGCACCGCGATTTGCGGAGATGCTTGAAAGGAAATCAAATATTTTGGTTGCTCATTGTTAAATGTTTACGGTAAATATTTAGCTGTATATTTTTGGCCAATTGCATAACTTGTTTTGTTTGCAATTTTTCAAAGAGTGCAAAAATTATTTGGTTTCTTTCGGTTGGCTTTTGTTATTGAAATCTTTTTTTTTGGCCTGCCTGATTAGTGCGTTAAGCACTTTTACTTTTTCGACCCAAAGACAATGCCTCTTGTTATGTAAATTGAATTTCAATTTCTTAGTTTTAATAGGCCTGAGGCCCGGACTTGTCGAACTTTATTTTTAGCTTGGACCTAAAGTCCATTATTAATCAACCAAAAAGAAAAAATGCATTAAAATCCCAGGGAAATTAATTAGGGCTCATCAGAGTACGTCTGTAAAAAATAGAGGGAATATCTGCTGAATATGTTCGGTTTTGTGTAAACATTTGCATGCACATCAAAAGTAACTGTATCCGAATGTTTGTCTGGCCAGCAAAAAGTAACAAACAACTAGCAGACAGGCAACAACAGCAGCAAAAGATCAAAATCATTTGAAAAATTGTTTGGCGAAATGGTAAGACCAAATCGAAGATGGAAAATGTGTGCAGCATGGAAAAAAAAAGGAGGGAAAAACGAGTGGCCAGCGGAAGAAACAAACGAAACCACTCCCGGACCAATGCAGATGTTGCAGCAGTTGCTACGGCCGCCGATGTTGCTGTTGCAGTTTCTAAATGCCGCCGCGCACCAATTCACCGACAGTCAGGCACAAGCTGCAACAACGGCAGCGAGAATGCAAACTTTGCATAATTTATGGCAATCAATTTCGCGTGAACATCAACACGGTTGCAATGCAAAAAGATACAAAGCACCACGGCAACATCGGAGAGCCGAAAGCAAAGATGGCGAAAAGAAAAGAAATTGCGGCAACGGACTGCAAGCCATCCGTCTATCGAATGCCACTATCAACTTATTTAGTTCTACTTAAATGTTTACTTTCATCAATTCGCAACGATTGCGACTTGACTCCATTCGCTGCCAACGGAGCAATGTCAATTGGCTGCGGATTGGATTGTCTGATGTTGCTTTTTGGTCACAAAACTGTAGCTGGTCAAGAGAGCTAGAGAGTCGCCTCAACAGGATGCCCGACATCGGAGATACATTCACTTTGCAGAGCCCGCTTAGTGGAACACTTTTCAAAAACATGCAAAAGCCTCCGACTCTGGGGAGTACGATTTCGCCTGGCCCTAATCTAATTGCCATCGCCTAACCCAATTTCCTAGTTCTCCAATTGCCATTTAGAACTTTCACTCGCAGCCTTGGCATCACCACCGCCACCCACAGTCAGTTTGCTGGCCCGACAACAATTGCCTTGCACTTTCGAGAGGATGGAGTTCGCCTGGCTCAAAATACATATCATTTTACATAATAAATTTAATGCCGAAGAGTGCAACAAATTGCAGCTTGCATGGCGATCCCCTTTGTCTACGCTGACAGCTTGCAATTTGCTCATAGGAGCCGCAGAGGCAGGTGCCTGGCGCATTGTGTCTACTGCAGTTATCAAATAAATACTAAGCACTCTACTCAACTCTACTCTACTCCCATTCTGCTTGAGTGCCGTCTACACTTACACGGCGTTATGCATTCACCGTTGCTTTTGGCCCACTTACAAACAACACTTACTTAAAAAAAGACTCAAAGCTAAAAAAGAGAAACAAAAGTTAAACGAAAAACCAAGTTTTTCCTGATTTATGTCCGAACAAATTGTGTTGGCTTGGTGGTTTCCTTATACGATGTGATTTAAGTGAATTATGTTGTGAATTTGATATACACTTTTAACACTTCAGCCGAAACGAAATGAAAACTGTTCTTGTCTAATTAACAACAGGGATGCAGAGGTTAAAATCTGTTAACTTCCTTTGGATTTTAATTTCTCCAGTTATACGCTTTCCCGCCTGATTAACCCCATCTGTGTGAGGTTGAAATCCGCAAACTTTTATATCTTGCAGCTGAACCGCATCATTTACAGTTGGCATCCGTCTACTGCACGCAATAGATGGAAATATATGGGAAATTGTGAAAGAGTTTTAATCAAAGTGGGAACGTTGCTGCTCCGTTTGATATCTTTCTCGCGGCTGCCTTGACACGCAATTAAAGTGAGCAGCAGCCCCGCCCCAGGGCCAAAAATAAATCTCGAAGAGATTCTTCATTTCGAAATATCTTGGGGGAAATTGGGGCCAAAAGCGTGGCAGACGAAATGAAAATCCATGCGTGCACTTGACGCCGCTGAACCCACAAATTGGTGGTGTCATTAGGCAGATATTGATTTGAATTTATTGGCAATTCAATTAACTCTAACCGAATGATCGAGGGCTGGCTTTCAATTATTTTTTTATCGATAGAAAGGGGCGAAGTGAAGTTCTGCTGCGGCTGCTGTAGCCATTAATTGTCTGGCAGCTGGCGCATTACAATGCGGAAATGCAATCGCATCGAATGGATCCGAATGGAATTAAATCGAACGCACTTCACACGCAAATAAACAGGCCGTTGTTGGTCTGGAGTTTATCTTCGGGATGCACGGCAGCAATTTATTCTTCATCGAGGGGCGAAGAAAGTAAATAGTGAATAGGAACCGGCGAATGGTGAATGGTGAGCAGTTATGCAAATCAGCAGGTAGTCCCCGGAAAGGTAGAGAAACAGACCCACAGGTCGGTCATTCACCGCCACAAGTATCCATGAGATACGCGCAACTCGCATGCAATTTGCAACATTAGAATATGCGCACATGAATAGATAGAAGAGCAAAGGATCCTTGTGGTTGCTGTGTAGCTCCAATGAATGGAGCAGATTTCCATTTAACCGCAGCACTTTGTGCGCCTTCATTAGACAACTGAAATATAATTGCAAGTAAGGGTAGCGTGGGGCAGTGACTGCCTTTGTTGGTGATGGGAAAGCTGGGGAAAATAATGGCAACAAATAACCGAATAATGCCCGTGAAACACAATAAACATACATGTAAAAAAATGTGTAAATATCACTTAAAAATGAAAATGAAAGTGAAACCGTTTTCGTTCATCCATTCAGACGTATCTGAAAAATAGATGAGAAAGTTCAATTCAACTCGAGAAAGAGTTGTCAATTCATTCAGAAGAGCTGGGTGTCACATTGATTTCAATTTCCATTTCCCTTTGATTTGAGCACTTATCTATCTAGATGTCGTGTACTTCAGTCCCAATGTCACCGTTGATTTCATAATCATCTGACCGTCACTAATTCCTACGTAATTGGAAAGCCATAATGTCAAAGTCTTTGTGCCGGTCGTGGTTTGGGCCCTCCCATCGTATGCATCGCATCATATGCACCACATCTGTTGCAACTTATTAATTTTGGGGCCAACAACCGTTCCGAGCTGTAAGCGAAATGCCCAAAATACCCCGCGCAAAGCCGCTTACACTTTTAAGTGATGGGCCGGGGCTGAAACTAAACGCTATTAATTTTTACACACGGTTTCACTGCAGTTCGAATGCGTTTTTCATGAGCTCTCGGCTCGGAATTTTATAGCTCCCAGCTAAGCTGCAGTGGCAATGGGCTTGGATTTGAGTCAGGTCTGGTCTGGTCTGGGCCATTGTTTTGCAATTTTGTTTAATTTTAGCCCAGGCAGGGGGATGCGGCGGCATGATAATAATGAATGATGAGCCGAGCCACCGCCACAATACCTATTGAGTAATTACAAAAATTTTAAAGTTTAATTAAAATTGTGTAAATAAACGCATTTGTTTGGCTTTGTTACCGTTGGCGGGTGTTACTCTTGCGAAAATGAAAGTGCCATCAAATTATGATGCTCAATTGTGGGAGCATCAACTGTCTTTTGACAAGCTCACCGAATGACACTTGATGAATTTCAATAGCTCGACATGACAAGGCAAAGTGAATGATCTTCTAATAATTGCACGGAGAAAAAATATCAAGCAGAAATATCATAATATCCATGTTTTTGTAAAAAGTCTTTGAACAGAAACTTTTTAATTTATATTTTTATCCCGGAATTCTAAAATTTCCGAATTTCTCCATTAAAGCTGGAAATTGGAAATTAATAATTAACTGTAAGCCCCTATACCTACATACTTATAACTGCTAAGTTGATTTGTGTTACAAAATTGTAAATTTCCACTGTCACTTACCTTGTAAACCTCCGAGAAAAATCCTGATCCAATTTTCTCCTTGACGAAGTCATCCACGGAATATAATGCTGAGACGGCGGTGCGCAGCGCCCGACACGAGCTGCCGGTGACCAGGCGATCCGATGATATCGTCCTTGTTACGGGCGCTGGTGGCAGACCGTTCCCGATCCATCCGCCATTGTGAAGCGGTTGATGTTTTACTGAAGCTTCCGCGGTGGCGTCTCCATTGGATGTGGCATCTGTGCCTTTGTACGCTGCACTTACAGATGGTGTTGGCGTGGTGGTGTTGCTGCACATGCCCGCTGTGCTGGGCCAGACAAAGGGGGAGACGTGGGAGGGGGCGGACACCGAGGAGTCCACCTGGTCCACTGCTAGACCGTAGATCTCCGACGGCGGACCGGGCCCACTGTGCTGATTTAGGCTCATGTTTATCAGCTACGACGTATGTTGCTGTCGTATCCGGATGTGTATGTAAAGTTGGTTTGTTTTTGTCGTTGGGCGACCTTGCCTTGCTTGCTTGTGGGTGGGAACTCTGTAGATCGAGTTGTATCTGTGTGGTTTGGCTGATGCTGGAGCTCTTAGCTACAACATGGTATCTCCCATGATAACACTATGATTGGCGGGTTAACGCGACGGGTAGACGGGCACAATTTTTTCTACGGACGATGTTTTTGGTGTTTGTTTATAGAACGAAGCACGAAACATTTATCGGATCCATAGGTCCGAGTTTGACAACTTTCAAAATTTTGAAACAAAAAATATGGTGATAAATAACTATCAATCACTGTTATTTGCTTCGAATTAGAAACTTGTGTACTTAGTTGGTTGATTATTATCGGTGTTTGGAATGTTTTGGATTGTTCATTGATTCTTGGCACGTTGCAGTTGTGGAAGCTGCACTGGAAGCGCTCGCAGTTGGAAGTCTGAAAAAAGGAATCAAGATTTAGAAGTTAATATTATTCAAGTATCTCATCGCTCTAATGAAATGTAAATAAATACATCTGTAGATAGATATATATTTGTTCGAAAAATTGACGAAGCGGGCCGCGTGATCAACATTTTTATGTTTATTCTTTTTTTATGGGGTGCAAATTAAAATACTTCAAAGAATTCGCCATATATATTTTTGTCACGCGCCGCAGAAAGTAATGACAAAGTGTGTGCAGTAAATTCTAGAACACAGGAACTAGAAATATTTACAAGGGAAAAAGGGAAGAGATCAAGGAAAGGTAATTAATAACAACTTGGACCTAAAGGCTAATAAAAGCAAAATAACTAATAATTTAAATTGTAAATTTAAACAGATTAAGAAAAGATTTGTATTCCAAGTAAGTTGATAAAATGGTTTTTAAGAATATTATAACTTTTTATCAGATTAGTGTACCAAGAAATCGGCGAATTCAACGGTTTTATTTATTAATCAAGTTTTTGTAGACATTTCGGATTAGCACATTGCAAAAAAAACCATCGCAAACTAACAAGAATGAATAACTCGGCCCTGCTCGAATTTGCATATAAATATTCAGGGTCAAAGTCGACTCCACTGGCAAAGTGGTGCTTATCAACCGGGCTCTGCGGTAATAGCCACAAGCACTGTGCTACTATGTATATGTGCAGTTTTTGTTGCCCCTTGATAACGTCGACTTTTTGAGTGCGATAAAACACACGAACGATCATTTTCACAAACCTACAGACTTCTTTTTGCTTTTGCTTTTTTTGTTCCGAACAAACAATGTAATTTAGCAGCAATTTGGTTATCATTTTGCTGACTTGTAGTGTCGTTTGTTTTCGTTGTCTCTCAGGGGGCTTGGGGGGCAAATGAGTTCAGTTCATCAGCAAATAAGTGAGATAAACACGATCACTGAAACGTTGGCCTCGAGCTTGAAAACTACGTCTCTTGAATGGGTTGAAGGAGATGAAATCCACGAGGGAGGTCGCTAAAGGGTTCCACAATCGGAAAAACCCCACCTCAAAACACTCGGTTCCACTCTATAGATAAGTTTGGAAATGATATAACCAAATATTTTGCTGCTTAAATATCAGAGAACAACAGCAACAGGTTGGAATTTTTTGATTTGCCATTCCTTATCACGGTACCCATATATATTCGGCGATAAGATACAGCGAAATAGCTTTCGGGCGAAATAAAATAAAATCTACCAGTACAAATTTGGCTCGTAAAGGATCATGCGAGTGGCCAAAAGGCGATCATATCAGATAACAAAAAACTACCAGCTTACAATTAAAACTATAACAAAATAATCACACCAAATTTCGACATAATGATAATGATAGAGGTGAACACAGCTCTCACTTTTCCGCTGGCCAAAGTCAAAAAAAAAACTCAAATTACCAAGCACATTTTTGCAGTCGACAAACGGGGAAGTTATGCGAATTGAGATTTACTATTTGGTATTTTTTGTGTGTCTTTCCTTCTTTGCGAAATCTGTCCAAACACACACAACGAGCCGAAGCCAAAGTCGAAGTTAAAGCCGGCAGCAAGCCATAATTAGGGTCAATTGCGGCTAACCGCCGCCAATCGACGACAACGAAAGCTTTTGGCCAAATGAAGCGGCCAGGGAAAAAGTGCTACACTTCATTAGGTGCCATGACAAACGAAGAGTTGCAACGGAAAGTGGGGCCGTGGCTTCGATTTAATAGCAGCCTGCCCCACGATTACCTAAGGATCGGTTTCGGCCACGCCCCCGACGACAGTTATCCAATTACAAGCAGGTCTTTGTCAAATTATCTCGTTTTAGCTATGAGATGGATACGTGCTATCTTCACAGCCAGTTGTGAAAGTTCCCATAAAACCTAATGAGTTGCAAAGTTAAATATTTTTGTAAAATATAGTAAACATTAAGCTTGTATATCTTGGAGAAGAGCAAGCTGGGGAGAGAGTGCTACCGATGAGGAGGGAAATCCATTCCGTGGCCCACAAAAATGAGTTTAGCACGCTTCGCAAACTAAGTCAAGGCCCCCAAGCAACGATTTTTGGAAGCCGATGAGAAGGGGGTACTGATTTGGGTGAGCAAACCTATCGAGTCAAGAAAAACACTTAAGCAGTCGCTTTTATACGACTATTTCAATGGGGAATGCATAAATTTTCACATCACGTTCCAAACTATTTATCTCGTGTGGAAAACCAAAGGCAAAACATCAAAATATTTATGTTTTAATAGGAATGCCAGCCAAACAAAGGTCAGTCCGCATCCGCGGTTGTTGCCAAACATATGGAAAATATACGATGAGCCCCACAACGGAATGCTGCAATCTGTAGTCAGCAGTTCCACGAAGATTAAATGCCCTCAAAACAGGTAGCAACTGAATTTAATTAAAAAATCTTAGAAGAAGTGGAACATGTGGTTAGCCCCACAAACACTAAATATCTATGAAATCACCAACATTAAAAATGATTATTACTTTCATATAGTCAAACCAGATTTCTTGAAAATAGAAAATACAAGTCGCATTACCTAGGATTTTGTCTTTGTTCAAAAAGCTCAACTACAATTTAATTGGAACTGAAGTCGATTTATTTAAATATTTCTTTGCATTCCATGCTTGTTTTTTCAAAATTATTTGCTAGCGAAACCGAAGAAATTAAGTTCAGCACACCACTTATCTCTATTAGATTTTGATGGCGTTTATGGCATTCTCCAAATCGAATGTTAAACCGTTAACCGCCACAAGGTTCGAGTCAATAAACCGCTGCGGACTTTGTTGCTGGGCGAGATCAAGTTGCATTTTTATGGGGCCAAGGGTCGTCGTGGCCACCGTCATCATCATCATGTCTTCGCCTACGTAGGCGCGTGCCCGGAGAAGTGTGTGCAATACACACTCCATTCCAGCTGAGCCATTAAAGAAGCATAAATCTTGGTTATGAAATTGGAAATGATTTGCTCCGCAGACACAAGTAGGGAGCATAATGCCCCGAGAACTGATGCGTTCAGGAAGTGCGGCAGATCCCATAGACCCCGAAAAAAACGTTAATGAAAAGGAAAGTTGGTCAGCGGCACAAAAAAATGCCACTTCATGCCCACCACCGTGTAGAAAGAAAAACAAAGATGAGAAGACGGCGAAAAGAAGCCAAGGCAGCCGAAGAAGAAGAAATTTCTATAAACAAAGAGATGAGACGCAGAGCCAGAGCAAAATTATCAAAGAACAACAAAAAAAGAAGTGGAAAATGGGACATGGCACACTCTTGGGCCCACAGAAACAACAAAGACTGAATGAAATTCATGTCGTTGTCGCGCTCATAAATTCTTCTACGCCTATATACGCCCGGTATCGCTGGCTATCTAAAAGATACACCCACACTTGAAAAAAAACTACCAACTCATTCAACCGGGGAGGTGCTGGCTGCATCCGCTGTATGTGTATACCTATTTATGAAAAAGAATCTATGTAAATTTGTGTTATTTTAATAAATTCCAAGCCCATCGAAGGTGTGAGGCCTTCATCGTACACTTTTTGAGGCCCTAAAACAAGTGAATCATGCTCACAAAGCAAAGAAATGGAAAGCGGGGAGAAATACACAAATCTATATAAATTCAAAGGCAACGGAATGCAAGTCCGAAAGCATAAGATAAGCTTAATTAGCCAGCAAACAAATTTCACTTTCATTCGGTACAGAACGCCCGTTTCTAAACTATTTCTGAATGTCCCACGATTACTGCGCCATTTAGGCATTTCAACTAATTGGCAGCCACTTCGCTTCGAGGGGTGGGAACTCACGTGCCGCCCATCGATCGGCACAAACTATCCACCCAAAATAAACCATGGCCCGGCGCAAGTGAACTTTAGGATCGAAGAAATCCAACTAGACCGACAACAAAACTGTTTTATTTTCAGCCTCAAGTGCAAGTCCTATAAGAAGATCGAACAAAACAAAACACTTGATGAATGCAGCTGAAGAAGGTGCAAAAACCAAACAACAGAAGGGTGAGGAGAATGAGCACAAATGGTTTATTTTATTTTATTTATTTTTTCCCTCGATGCGGGCATAAGCGCACACACAAATGAAAACAAATTAGCTCAGGCAGCATTAACAGCCGGCTGCCAAGGGCGGAAGTACGGGGGAGTTTATTGTTAATTTTATAAACACCACGGACCACAACGAACCAAAAAAAAAAAAAACACCACAAAAATGCAGCGGTAGCAACAACCACCAAACCGGCGAAATCCCAATAGGGCAGCTGCATTTTAGTGGGAAACCCAAGTGGAAGATGCATTCGGATTGGCAGCTTTAGCTCTCTATCCGTAATAATGAGCGGAACATCTGTCGCAGTTTTACATGGAAAACTGTCTTTCCGCCGAATCGGAAAAAAGGGAGAAACTGAGAAACGGTCAGGAAAGCCAGGAGAGATGGAAATACAAACATCGGAAGCATCTACATCATAACTTGCAAATGTGTTTGTGTTATTTTTACATTTCCGCTGCTTACGAAAATATTTACGCTCCCCTTCGCTCCAGACCTTCCCCATTTCGAATTTAAAATTCCAGACGCTCGCACACACGCACGTGTTAGAGATGAGCCAGATTGAGTGCATCAAATGGTGACAACAGGTTCGATTAAAATGAATATGGAAATTTCTTAAGAAAAGGCCATCAACCATGTACTTGCATATGTCGAGCTCAGAAAAAAGTAAACAGCCTTTGCTTTTAAAATTAGATTATGTGCTGTTGCAAACGGATATGAATAAGCAAGCACCGACGATATTTGTACATTGTGAATTCCTTTTTTTATTTTATAATCATGAAACATTAACAATGGACAAAGAAATGACGTACAAATTTATTAAATTACATTATTTTTGATTACGAATTTTATAAAACGAGTAATTAATTAGACAATAATAGACGGATTACCTCAAATAAAGGCTTTGGTCCGTGACAATCTCAACTGAATGTCAACTGAAACTACAGTCAGGTTATTGTAAGTTTTTTTTTGTTCCGTACAAGATATGTAGATTTTAAGCTGGAAAGTTTTACTAGACAGTATACGAACGTTTAAATATTAATTTAAAACCACATTTTATATTTTTGCTTTGTGAGTTTTTGGTTTATTGCCTTGCAAGCTGGATTTCAAGCTACAGCGAAATCAGTGGGTGGAATCTTTTGGCAGACAGTGTGCGAAAGCTAAGGTCAGGCCCCCATCTCTATTCATAGGCACCGATAGCAGTTGTGCGACATAACTTATCCACTAATTCTGGGGTTTAACCGATTCCAGCTAATACTATTATTTACCCGTTTGGATTTGGCGACTGCTCTCTTTCTCTCTCTCTGTTCTTATTGACGTGTGGCCATAATCCAATTATGTGTGTATGTGTCTTCTCTCTATTGCAATTGCAGTTATTCGCCGTGGTATGCAACCCACACAATCGCACTCGCGCACTCACACGCACTCGCAGACATTCAGATGCGAACACCGAAAATCCTAAGCGTCAACAAAATAAATATATCTCGGCGTTTTAAAATAGGTTTTCACTCGATTCTGCGTTTGCTGTCTCGTCTTGTTTATGTGCATTCGTTGATTGTGTGTACTTTTTATTTGTTAGACGCGACGCTGTCCATTCAACATTTCTCAGCCGACGCTCGGCGATACTTTTGTTTAAGCCGATTCACTTGTAATTGGGGTTTGGTTATAACCGACTATTCAGTCTGGAATGGAGCAAAAGACATGTTGGTTTTATTTATGTCTGCACTCGCGAAAGAGCGTCCACAAATTAAATATTTTTCGGGAGCGACGCGCAGCTACGTCCGACTTTATTGTTCGTCTCTTTCTGTTAGAGATGGACAAACATCGATGCTAGCATCGAAGTCGTCGATGTTTTCAGTTACATCGATGTTTCGGTGACATCGATGTTTGGCAGGGCCCCAACAAAAATATATTTCATCTCTAACGAGTATCAAACATCTGAATCCATTTTTTCCGCACTGTTAACATTCCACTGATCTTGCGCACTCTGTTATTTTTACTGCATTTTGTGCGTGCATTCTGTTAGTTTCCACTCCAGATATAGCGCGATATTAACAAATTGCACTGCCATATAATCTGCAAAATAAGTAATGTAAAAATTAAGGTAATTTTATATATACAAATATTTTTTTATGTATTACTTATGCTTGTAGAGTTAGCGCTTATAGTGAATAAAATAACCCCCCTTGTATTTTATTTTTGTTTTTATTGATTGAACTCTATTAGAGGTGAAGAAAACAAATTTCTTTAAGCATCCAAAAGACATCGAGTTTTCCGCCAAATACAAACAAAACAAAGCTATTCCATCTCTAGAAATCATAAAATGGTGAATAAACTCGCTAACAGTGGAGTAAGTCCCCGCTAACTATCATTATGCATTAGTGCCTCCGCAGACATCGATGTTTCCAACCTTGTTATTCAGTCCAATTTTTAATTTTGATTTTAACTTCTTATATAACAAGTTTATTTAACAATTAAATGCTACTTTTTCTTGATGTACTTCATGTACTTCTTGGCATTGAAGTTGTCCTCCACTTCCTCCATAATCTTGACCTTCTTTCGCGGCTTGCGGGCCTCCAGGCGGGATTTACGCTCCGCATCGGTTAAAGTGCTCAGATCCAGGGGAAGCTAAAGAGTAAACTTTTAAATTACCGATTTAATAATATTTTAGCTACACATTTTTACCTTGATGATCTTCCGCGGCTCATGATAGCGTATGTTTATCGTGGATCCATCGGGTTGAACAACTACCGTGGGATATAGCCGGCAATAAACAGAGCGATGCAGCCGAGTGACCGCCGTTGTGGCCGAGGAAATGCAGCGCAGCTGTTGTACCGCCTGTGGCAACTGTTTCAGCAGCATTTTATTTGATAATCACAATATTTACACAGTTTTAACTGGACAAAATTAATACACGAGTTATGTTTTTGCCAAACAGCTGATAGTGGGGCCGAAGGTGGGAAGAGTATAAATAGTAGCAAAACAGGCAACGAAAGTTTTCCAGCCCTGGCATATTTTAACATTAATTAGTATTTGGCCCAGCTGTGGCCACACTCGTACTCAAAGTGTAAGTGTTGGTGCTGGGGCAGAAATTCTTATTTTCTTCTTTAAAAAATAAGTACGTTTGCTAAAAGCTATTAAAAAGTAGGAAATTAAAGCAGATAAACAGCGAAAACAAGTGATATATCTGCAAACCTTCAAGCAAGGCCAACAGTTGGGTTTTTCGGCTTAGAGGAACTTCGTCAAACTGCTGCGGTTAAAAAATTACATAATTTTTGCAGGCATAATTTTCCGTGTGCTATGCCAAGTGTCTGTAGAAAAGAACCAATGGACTAAACTTAAATTAAGCATACTAGTTAACGAAACCCAAAGAAAACCCTCCTGCAATTATAACAAATTTTTGCCTCGACAACCTAACCTCATCCGATTTTGTTGTTGTTTTCCAGTATTTGTGCTGCAGAATGGCCGCCCGCCGCATCGCCAAATCCTCGATTAACTGGTCCGCTCTTGCCGAGCGCGTTCCTGCCAATCAGAAGAGCAGCTTCGGCGCCTTCAAGACCAAGTCGGACATCTACGTCCGCGCGGTTTTGGCCAACCCCGAGTGCCCGCCCCAGATCGACTGGGCCAAGTACAAGCAGGTGATCCCCGTCGCCGGACTCGTGGACAGCTTCCAGAAGCAGTACGATGCCCTGAAGGTGCCCTATCCCCAGGACAAGGTCTCGCCGCAGGTGGACGTCGAGCTGAAGGCTTCCCAGACCGAGATCGATGCCTACAAGAAGGCCTCCGAGCAGCGCATTCAGAACTACCAGAAGGAGATCGCCCATCTCAAGTCGCTGCTGCCCTACGAACAGATGACCATGGAGGACTACCGCGACGCATTCCCCGAGAACTCGCTCGACCCCATCAACAAGCCCACCTTCTGGCCCCACACCCCCGAGGAGCAGGTCGGCTACAAGTCCAAGGAGCAGCTGGAGGCCGAGGCCCAGGGACACCACTAAGTCGCCACTGGGAGGAGGACTCTGTCGTCAGGCAGTCGTTGGTCTTTTGTCGATTCGAAATGTAAACCACGTTGAAGTAAATCACCCAAATTAAATTCATTTCAAATGAAGGTTGTTTGCTTACTCAAGAATGTTTAGTGGTTTTTTAATTTGGCTATCAAAGCTAAGAGGACACTCCTCCGCGAAAGAAATCAACTGTTTTTTTCTTAATTTTTATTTTAATCTTATTGAAAATCTGTTGGATAAATATATCACATCAAATTTACATTCATAGTTCTAGTGATATAAGATATCAGGCAGCGCGATCTTCGTGCCATTTGCACCACAGCATAATCCCGAAATGTCCAAATGGTCCGATTACGTGCTAAAGCTAATAATTAAAAGTATACGAAAATAGTTCTTTAAATTAAAAAAATCAAAAATTTTTATTTTTAATTTGAGTTTAGAAAAAGTATTGCGTACATAAGAAGCCATCCTTTAAGATTTTCTTTCTTTTCAATTATTTGAAAATGTTTTATATAAGCTTTAATAGATACAAAAAATCACTTTTTTTCAGTGAAAGTTCATTTTCAACTATGACACTCCACTACCATTTTTAATCCAATCAGTTAAAAACAAGTTTAGAATATTAAATAACTACATTACCTAAAACTCATTTAACTCCTAACGCTTTAAAAATGAAATAGCTTAAATTAAAATGTATTTGTTTTAAAAATGTTTTATCTTAAGGGGACCCCCACCATTCTCGATTTCGAATTTTGACGATTTTCAATAGGCTGGTAAATGAACATACATATATTATTTTTTAGACTTGTAACTTTGCATCCATTTATTTTAAGGTCTTAAAAAAGCAGAACAAAATTGTACATCATTTTTTTTTTTATTTTTTCTGTTTGTTTTTTGTTATTAAACAAAAGCCCTTCTTTTCGGGGGCGCATGTGATTTCCGCTCACTGGAACATCTGAAACCAAAAATTCCAAAGGGATTAGGAAGAATACATGTTTGGCTTTGGCATGAACTATGATTATTAATTTCGCACAAAAATTAACAAAATACCGCCCCTTTGAATATTTTTTTTTGAAAATCGCCTTTTTTCAGCCAGAAATCGAGTTGAAAAGTAAAGAAGATCTTCACCGATTTGATTTATCCTATTTCATGCCATAGCTATATATGTATAGAAAAACGTATTAAAATTTGGAACCGATTAGATTAATAGTTTTTGAGTAACCTCATACGCCAGTCGTAAAAATACTGTTTCGAGAAAAACGCGTTTAAAGTTTTGAGAAGCTCTCGCCGTCGCCATACGCTTCCACTATAAATCGCATATATCCTTAAAAGTTTTTGGAATTATCACTTGACATTTTAAAGGAACATTCTTGAGTAGTTATAGGTTCCGACGACGCCCCCTGGCGTAAGACCACCCAGAAAAGCGCAGGAAACGCTCCCAAGCCTCTCGACCGAAATACTGCCAGCGTTGCCCTCCTCAAGACCCCCCCATCCCGGCGTTGCCATTTTTATGTTAAATGCACCACTTTTCTTAAGCGCCATCTATCGATGCTGAATAAAACAAAAAGCTCCCCCTAACTCTGAGCTTAAACACTATTACATGCAAAAGCGCCATTAGGCGGGCGGTAGCAGAACTACATGTGATTTTCCATCCATGGTTTGAGTTTTCGGTAAGTTTATTTGATCCTTAAGTGTTGCCACCTGTTATTGACTTTTCTACCATGGTTATTGTCCACACTCCACATGAATACTTTCGGTATATTTTCACGGTCACCTTAGATTATTCCTCAAACAAAGCTGGTCATTTTTGAAAGTTCGATCACAGCCACTCTGCTCTTCTGACGGCATTCTGGGAGAGAGAACTCTCACCTGCGCCTGCAAAATCCGTTAAAAAGCTCCACAGCCGGCGCTCAAATCTCGTTTCTCTCGCTCACCTGAGCGCACCTTTCGCAAAGCCGCAGCGCGTCTTAACTTGTCTTGGAGGTGCACTTTCGAGATCGGGGTCCGCAGAAGCCGCACGATCAGTCGCGAGCGAATCGAGTTGGAGTGCAAACGTCTCAAGCGGAATCTCAAGTTGTAGCGCTAATCGCAGCGAACGGAGTGTATCTGTGTATCGCTGAAATACAAAGTTGAACCAAGCTGGAATTTGCCACCAGTCGAAATATATCTCGAATCGAATACCCGCAATTTGCATAAGGCGCAACTAAAGACGCGCTCTGTCAGTTAACCCACTTTCTAAACGACCAAACCAAACCAAACCAAAAAAAGAAGAATAATACTGCGACCGATATTCAGCAACAACGAAACCAATTAACAAGCAAATAATGCCGAGCAAATAACATCAAATAACGTGCAAGTGATTCATGCCTTTTTTTCTTGCAAGTGAAGTGCTTAGGTAAACCGAAACATAGTAAAACAAAAAAAAACAAAAGTTGACTGGAAAACGCACTGGAAACGATAACGATACCTGGAACGCCCCCAACCCACGACTGTCAGTCAGTTGAAACCGCAACTGCAGCAGCATTATCTACTCGGCCAGCAACAACAACAGCAACAAGTACGGATTGCAAACAGCCCGGGTAAGTTACACCATCGTACATCATCGCACGGAAACAACAACAGCAGCAATGGGGGTTCATAGCTCGCAGGGAGCCTCTTGCATTCCCTTTTTCCTCGGTCTGCAAACGGGTTAACAAGTTGGGGCTAGCTAATACAACGATCGATCGATAGGCCTGCAAAAATGCAGCAGCCAAGGTGAGTTAGAACGCAATGGCTGGGTTTTCCGACCAAACAATACCGGGTAATCGTATTTCTTCGTATTGAATTATAGGCTTAGAACTTGCTAGGCTGAATGGTTGTGCCAATTGGAAATAAATACACAAACCAAAATAACATACGTCACTCTTATTCCATCAAAACTCGAAGTTTTCTTCGCAAAATAAGAAGGTTTTCAAATAATAACTTTTTAATTCCAGTGTATATACGAGTTTATCGCTATAAGTTTGACATATGCAATTTGAAGCTTAAAATAACTTAATCCCAAAAATATTTTAAACATTTCAAATTAAAAATCCTTAATATATTAATCAAACTTATGCCTTATCTTTTAATTTCCACTTCTGAACGTAATGGTTAAACGATTAAAAAAAAACATTAATCCGATTAAAAAGATAAATATCTATATTTTTAATATCCGATCAGTAAGATTTTTTACTACTCCCACCAATAATAAAGAAACAAATTTTAATCCAAATCCCATCCGCGGGGATCTAAATAACACTTCCAAATAGGGAATACCCTTGAAATGTGCGTGTACAACCACAAACGATTCTTGGGAGTCCTCCCATTTTGGGCATGCTTTCCATATTTCATAATCCGCTGTCTGGCAGCGTAACTTTTAGCACCTCTGTGCACCTTCTCAGTTTCGCATTTCACCGATGCACACACACAACACTCGGGGGCTATAATTTCTTTGGATAATTATTACTCGTCTGGCATATTTTTTGTAGCTGGTGTTTTAAAGCTGCTTTGGCCGGCGCTGACGCTGTGAAATTTTTGCGTTAAAGCAGTGGTTTTTGGGTTTGTTGCTTTTTGTGCGCTCGTTTGCATAAACACCTAGTGGATAATTCGGAACGTATTTTACTTAATTTAAAAATCTCAGTTTGGGAAATTTCTACAACTTTCCTTATGTAGCGCAAAAACCAAAGCGGAAATGTGTACAAAAACAAATACCAATATTTATGTTATTCGATCTGCCCTTTACTTCACATTATTTTTCGGCAATATTCAATGTAAAGGGGTTTGGTTTCAGTTATAAAATAAATATGAGTTGCCTGGGAAGTCTTAGGAATGTAAATCGGTAATTCGAGATGTTTTAGGTAACGAAAGCTTTTACCGATCTGGTAAGTGACAAAGCCTCTGGCTTAGATGACTCAAATCCGCTATAGATCGCATTCTGGAATTTTGGAATGACTCAGTGTTCTGGCAATTGAAAGCATTTTGATTTTCTGTTTTTTATTTGCTGTTTCCGTTTGTTTTGATATTTTTAGAAAACATCATTTATAATGTATGTTTTTCCATTTCGGGGCGATGTGGAATTCTAGTTGCAATTGTAAATAAATTTAAAATCCTTTTTAAAATCCATTTTCTATTGATGATTTTTTTTACAAATTTGTATGTTATTCCATTAATTTTTTTTTATGTTCTAATGACAAGAGCAATTAAAAGAATTAAGGCTGTGATCAATATCGCATTTTTAGTTAACAATATAATACCTATTGAAATCCATGTGCTACACCTTTGTAAATTCTTTGTAAGAAAATTAGTTCTAAATTCTGGTAATAAGAAAAACAATTAAAGTGTAACCATATGCATATTTCGTATCAGCCTGCAATTAAATCTCTTTAAATGCAAAATAGTTTAGTTATCTTATCAGTTTTGTCGAAGCTCGTTTGATGTTGTTTCTTAATTGCCAGCAACCTGAGCCCGTCCTTCCCGCCCCTTTGCTAATTCTCCTGGATGTTGTTTGCCAACTCCACTCGAGACGTAACTCATAACCAATCGCCATGAATGAAATTCGCATTTCATTACAGGCCGTCAACGCCTGAATGCCTGAATGCGGCTCAGCCGGTGGCCGGTTTTTCGGACGGGAGTGCGGTGTGGTTTTCCCCTATCAACGACAATAGCTACGCACGTTCGCGAAAACAAAAAAGAAATTGTCAATAAAGTGCAAAAGGAGACGGCCGGGCTGGGCAAAATAAAGAAAAAAAGGCAAAAAAGAAACAGAAATTGCCACAGAGAAACGTGTTGCAGCGCCACGGGGCTTGGTGGCCCATCCCAGCTCGAATCGAGTGCAATCGTGATACAAAGTGGCCGCCGCGGACAGGGGGCGGCTGTAAATTCGTATTAACTATCCGCTAGATACCCGTACTTTCACAAAAACTCGTTCGAACAAATGGCACAAATATGAGCATTTTATTTGCCGCAGTTTTTTCGTTTTATGCAATTTTTCGAGATTTTTTTAGCATGGCGTATAGTTGCTTTATTAGCAACGTGCCAAACGCAAACAAACCAAGACAAGAAGCAAGGCAAACAAAAGCAAATCAAGTGAACAAACAAGAAGTTTGTAAATGGAAACTGCATTTTGGCACGAACTTTCGGGGGTACGGGGTGTTTGTCGGGGGTTACGCAGTAAATTTAAAAAGAAATAAACCCCGCACAATTATGCACATAAACCACACAACGGCTCGGCCAACTTTCCACTTTTCCCCCAACTGTTCAGCATTTCCAAAGCACGCACTTGCTTGTGTTTTATTTCTACTATTTTTTTGTGTCCGCTGCTCATTGTTTACCAAATATATGTCTTAAATTGTTTGTTTTCATTGCCGTTTGCATAATAATCGAAACGATGCGGATTAAACGTCTGTGGTCATGGATTTCTGTGCCCTTTGTCTGCCATAATTTGCACCAGCCTCATCTTTTCTCCGATTTCGTCTCGTGTTGAGTGGGCGATAAGCAAAACGTGATTGATTGAATAAAACTGGAAGAAAAGAGATATGACAGGTCTGGGACTACGAATGCGTCTGGGATTGGGTCTCCCGGGGGTCTGGCCCTAATCAGTTGACCCTGTTGTGGGTGATTTATAACAAGTTTTTCGGTTTCATAAGATAAGAAACAGCTGCAAATATGATATCACTGGCAGATAATTGCAAACTTGAACTTCAGGAATTCATGTTTTCTTATCTGGGTTAAAAGAGATTTGATATTATCTATGGGTCACTTTTCTGTTAGTTTTGGTTTTTGTTTGGTTTTACGACATTGCAATGGATAAAATTGGAAACAACTAGTCAAGTGTTTTATTTCATTTTAAAATATGGTTATAATTAGTTCCTTCGAACTTATAATAAATTTAGTTTTAAAGTTAAATTCAATTACATTTAATTATTATTTTAATTGTATTTTTATAACTTAAATAAATGTTGTTTAATTATGCTCTACATTGTGGCAACAATACTTTCTTTTATACTCGAAAAGAAGACTTCAAATTATAAAAAGGGGTTATTTGTTTAAACTTAAGGAAGAGTGGGTAAAGATTATTACCACAATGAAAAACATTATTTATATTACTTGGCTACCAATTCTTTCATGACGATGACACTTATTTCTTCGTATGTTTCCGAGTGTTAAAAGTTCAATTTCCTCTGACACCCTTCTTTTTTTCTGCGGCTTCTCCTTTGCAAAATAAATAAATAACTCAAAATACCCACCGATGATAATTTCTTTCGTTTTTTGCCAGTAAATCATCAGCTTGTTGTTAATTTTTCGACTCTGTCTCCCTCTACGGCCGTCGTGCCGTCTCTTTCGTTGCCTATCTTCTTTTTCGTGGTGCGTCAAGTTGGCACGACAGGCGTCGGGAGAAAGTTTTTCTTTTTCTTTGCCAAACTCGAGAAATAAAACTAAAAAATTAACGCCAAAATATAAAATACAAACAAAGGCGAACAAAAAACGCAACAAAACTGTAAAGTGTGCAATGCAAACATGTGATTATATATCCATACACACAAATGCGACTTATATAAGATATTGTCTGGGCATTAAAAACGCATAACAATTAATTGTGGAGAAAAACAATCAGCGACAGCGAATGAATCAAAAGTAGATGACACTCTTGGATATCAGCAGTAAGCACAACCAACACCCCACGTCAAAATTTGAATTCGGGGAAAATGGCCAACAACTTTTGAGCGATTTGTTTGCTGATGTTTTGGCCACCCGTTTTTTTTTCAAAAACATTCCACGCATGGCCATCAAAGTAAATTACTTAATTTATGCCTCAAATGTGTCGTCGAGCGGGCGGCACTTTCTACCGCCCCACCTAAAAGCGGTTCTTGCGTAAGCGACTTTAAACGCATGCAAAACGCGTGCAGCGAAAGCAGGGCAAACTTGGAGTTACATCAGATTGCCGGTGACCCGGGGTCACTGGAAATTAACTGATAAAAGCTGCTCGTACAGCTCAATTTTTGGACTTTGCTCCCCGGCAAATCAATACCAAATTGTAAATAATTGAGGCAGCCCAAGCCAAGGTCTGACCCTCATTATTGCTTTATCAGCTGGGAAAAACAGGGGAAAAGAGGGGCTGCACTTCTGACAGTCTGCAATTTATGCCACCGAAAATGGGGAAAATGGAAAAAATTCTCAAGTGCCAGAAGACCCCAAAAACAGACAGAGAAACTAATTTCGAATTCCAAATTTTCCATTTCTATTTTTAAAGGCCATGGGAGAAACGCTTCCTAGCTTTACAATTTATCTCCGTTCCAGAAAAGCAGAAAGGGATTTCAATTAAGAAAGATATTCAAGTAGCTAATAAATAAATATTTCCCTATCTCGTGGATATTGATCAACAAGAGAATTCCATTAACCATTAACGCTGGATGTGGAATGACTCTTTTTCACAGTTTGCTCAGGGCGGTTAATGTTAATTCAATTATATTCAGTAAAAGTAATTTACTTTTTCGAGCCGGAAAGGCGGAGAAAGAAGGAAGGTGGAAAATGAAAAATGAAAGCGTTCTTAATTGCGAGC